TAGTTCTAATCATGATTAACATTCCATTCTGCAGATCGTATGTACAGCAGTGTCTTTGTTGGCTTGCATACCCTTGGGGGAACTTTTCTTTTTCCACATGATACTGATTAGAAAGGTGTGTACCTTGAGTTCTGTTTTCTCTATGATATCCCGTTCTATATATAATTCTAAAGAATTAAGAGTGCAGTTTACAATCTTCAAAGACTTTTGCAGTGGAACGTTGCTTTTGGATTTGTATTGAATTTTTTAAGGGGGTTGATTATTTAAAGAGATACCTGGAATGGAGGATTCTAAATACGGGTAATCATATACCTTGATGTGTTGTATCAGGGAATTACAACTTACGAATATGTTGTGGCAATGAGGGCCATGAGCGAGGCACCTGCTGGAGCGTCTATGGATTTGGAACTTCCTAATATTACATACTCTCCATCTGGGTCTGCTACTACTGGCTTCAGTGGTGGAAGTTCGTTGGCCCTGCAGTATAAAGGAGCATGGTGCACCCCTCCTAGGGTGTTTGTTGATTATCAGGTGAACATAAGTTTTACTTTCTGGTTAGAAAGACGTACTAGAAGCTGTTTGTGGATATACATAATTATGAGTGTGTTTGGCCGAACTTTAATATAAGCAATTTTTCTAATTGATTTTTTGTTTCTAAACATGTCTGGAAAGTAACTCTTATGTTACTGTTAGAATAAGTAATTTATTTCAAGTTTTGATCAATAAAACAAATTATGTACTTTAAAACTTACTTATTTACTTATAAGTTAACTTTTTAAGCTAAGCAAAACGTGCTCTATATGTAGCTGTTTGGTTTGTTTACTTACCTCTAACTTGTGCACCTGGCTCGATTTTCATTTAATTACAAAATTTCTGGCTGAACACTGACAATTCTCAATGCTGGTTTTATTACACACTCTGTCAGCCTTGTACATGTTTAATGCCTTCCCTGAAATAGTTCTTCTTATGGAAGAATCGACTGTATAGTACAAACTACTATTTTTATTGATCATAATGCAGTGATTCTTTGATCAATCTAAAACACACACTGTTATCTTGTAACTTTCTGCTTTGTGATCTCCTGTTAATTAATCTCTAACAAATATTTTTACAAGTCTCGTTATTTTTCTTTAATTCTGCTATCTTTCATTCAATAAAATGTATATCCTTTGCCTCGTATTATTAACTCTCAATTTATTTCAAACGCTAAATTATTTCATAATTGTTCACTCTGCATATGAACCATGAATATCAGGAAGAAGTTGCGCCTCAGCTGGGACCTGGAATGGTACCGTCAACAGTTGATCCAGATGCTGCTGGATTTGATGAAAAGGGAAACAAAGCTCCGAAAAGACAGGTTCGTAGAAGTGCATGGAAACTTGCAAAACTAGATTCCAACGAAGCTATAAGAGCAGCTGCAAAAGCGAGGGCATCGTCCTCTGTATTGCGTCCTGTTGATAACAAGCGCTTGCCAGATTGTGAACTAAGTTCCAGTGAGAATGCGAGTGTTAGAAGCAGTATAAGCACCGAAATTGGAGGAAACAAAAATTTTGGAAACGAGTTGAAACACTCTCCATCGCGAAATTTTCATGCTCTGAGTCAAGGCAGCCATGAAGAATTTGAAACTGGCACCCAAAGTGCGAGTAGCTTCAGCAGTCCCAGCCATGTTCACGAATCAGTCACGCTAAGTCCCCTTCCTCAAGCTCATGGTTTGAGACACTTCGTAGCCACTAATTCAGCACTAGCCGGTGTGGTTCCTGATCACCCTGTAACCTCAAGAACAGTTTTCCTGAGTAACAATCCTCCAGTGTTGCACACTTCTTCAGGGTTCGATGAAAAGATCATGCAAAAGAGTAGCACTATGGACCCATTACTACTCTCTGTTCCTGCTACTGCTCCGGGTCCGACAGCTTCTCTCCTCAGAGATGTTAAAAGGACATCTGTTGTTTGGGACCAAGAAGCTGGAAGGTACATCTCTGTTGCAGTGTCAGCTTCGGAAGCCCGGAGAAAATCATCTTTACAAGCAGGAGTATCAAACCCTAATACTGCACTAAGTAATAACGATAAGAAACCTGCAGTTCTTCCTCGGGAGCCTTTGCAGCAGCCTGCTGTAAAGCCTCCTGTCCAGCAATCGGAGAAGCTAATGTACACCGGGGAGTCCATCTTCTTTGGCGGCCCACTTTTGACCGCTCCAATTAGAGATGGTTTGAAAACTGAGACAGGCTCAAGTTCAAGAGATGGCCAAGATAGGTTGCCTTTCAGTTTGCCACGTGAAACAAGATTCAGGAGGGACTCAACCTCAAACCAGCTTCCAGTCTTTGTTCCTGCGGATTTTGAACCGAATCATCCATCTGGGTCAGGTCTGAAGTAGTTAATCTTAATCTCCTACTGTTCATCCCCCAATATATCAGTGTCAATTGGGGAGTAAAAATCGAAGAAACCCCTCGAGGGAGCAGCTTTTGAACCCCTCTGGAACCGTTTCCAATCAATTGCAGCTGGTGATGCAACTGAGTGACTAGGTTCCAGCGTCTTTTTCTTGGTGGAGACTTTCCGATCAATTTTGAATTAACATGAAAGTAGTCGTTGTAATCAGAGATATGTCTGAGAGATCTACTCCACTTTCCGGGTTCAGCCTAAATTAATTTCTCTTTTATGCACAAGAACGAGCTCCATTCGTATTCCTAGAAAAAGACCATTCTATCAGATTTGATTGTACTTTAAGCTTGATAATTTCTTCCCATTAATCTATAGCTGTGTTTGCTTGTTTACAAGTCTTGGCTTCCCATTTTGTCCACCTAATGTTCGATTTTGCCCGAACCCGAGAAAAAAACTGGTATTCTGTTTTCTGGATGTTTTCAATTGAAGGAAAAGGTCATAAAGCATACTTGTGTTTGGGGGAGTTATCGTCTATCATCGTCTGCTATGATAGAATGATTAGTTGAGGGGCCGGCTTGATAGGTGGTGGTTTACCTTGTGATGGATGTCAATACCTGCCCCTAGATGACTTGGATCAATAAGGAAATCTCAATTCATTGAGCAATATTCTAGTAGCTCAAGCTATGTGATTGAATGAGTCATCCTCTACTTGTCAGTTCGTTAAACATCCTACAATGTTAGTTACTACTTCTACTAAGGCAATGAAGTAATCCCCACGACTCTGCGATGAAAAAAAAATAGAATGTGCCATAAAAGCATGTTAATGAGGGTATTCCTGCATACGATAACATAGCAATGGATAGTCGTAGTCAATGTGCTAAAATTTATGGTTCCTTGGTGGTTTTGTCAAGTTATAAGCTAATTTTTTCTTGAATTATTCTACTTGTACATCAAGAATTATACATAAGAGTATACACCCCACTCACATGAGGGTGGAGTCCACTTGTGTAAAATATTTTTTTATTGAAGTGGGCTTCACCCCCATGTGAGGGGGGTGTACACCCCGATGTACATCTTGATGTATCGGTAGCAAAATTGTTTTTTCTTTACATTTCGATCTTCATAAACCTTGGGAGAGTTGAAATGTGTGCAACGAAAGATGTGTTCTTCGAGCATAAATAGAATTGGCATGACAATAAATTGTTGATGATTTTAAATTATCGAGGAGAATGCTCGATTATTTTGTTTTGAGAGATTTTCGCATGCAATAAGGACACTTTATTTGGATTTAGTGAACAAAAAAAATTTTGGGAAAAATTTTCTTTAGTCCAAGGTGGGAACATATTGGTCTCTTGTTTTTGACAATTAACAAGACATTGTTTCCCGAGTCAATAGATTACGACTCACTGAGTGGTCAAACTCAACGCGTCGACTTTATTGTCGCCCACATAATGTAATGTGAAATGCAACTGCCACTATATTTCCTTGACTATAAAATTGGGTTGATTACACTAATTGTCCCTGAATTTTCTTAAATGTCATTTATATCACAAAACTTTAAATTGTTTCATTTACCTCATCAGATTTTAGAACTCTTTTCAGCTACACCACCATTAGTCAGCTATACATTTTTTAACCAAAAATTCTACATGGAGTTAACGTTTTGTTAGTTCGCTAATGTAACATATCAGTTGAGATTGGATTAATTTACACCAACTTCTATCGAACTATATGCGTAGTGTCATTTATATCACCGAACTTTGAATCGTTTTATTTTCCTAAAACTTGTTTTAGTTTTCTCACCACATATGTTAGCCAACAATGGGAGACCACTACACTGTATGGATTTTGACCATTTGTTGCATTCTTATTCTTTATATATATATTATCCGTTTAGGATTTGTTGGCTCTCTGTTAGCCACTATTTATAGAATTGATCAGTCAATTTTTATCCACATATTTTGTAGAATCTGCAAGTATTACTCATTTATTCTTTATTTATAATTTACAACGATTATAAACAACTACCAACATTTAAAAATAAAATAAAATATCACATTATAATTAAAAAAACCTTAATTTCTTAATTTTACCAACATTAAGGATTTTGGTCTATCGTATAAAGACAAAAAAGAAAAATAACAATAATAACATATTGAGGTCCTACTTGCAACATTTTCAATGGTTGGGGACCCTAACTATATTTTTGCCTAATTGAAATATTCTGTTGTCAAAACCTGTGTTTACCCGATTACCACTCACAAGAGGGATCAATAAACCCGTAGACTTTTGTGATTGCCCACAAAATATAAATGCAATGGTAGGGTGGTGTGGTCGAAGGGTGGGGTGGGGGGTACACATGGTCCGAGTATAAACATGCTTCTAAGAAGCATAGACCATTCCTTCTTCAAGGAAAAGGCTAAAGGAATTCAAATTCTATGGGCTTAGAATAAACAAGAGGCTATAATTTAATTTATATGACATAGAATACTATATATATACACAAGTTAATAGCAAGATTCAATATTCAGACAAGAAGTTAAAGAAACTGATCCTACATTGCTTTTGTTGGTGTCAAACCTCAATATTTACAAACATTCTTATTATCACACAAAAAAAAAAAAATGAGTGTAGAAGTGTTGGATGGTGCCACCATTGTGAACTTTGTGCATGACGAAGAAGCTTTCAATGAGTCCGTTCAAGCCCGCTTTTTGAAACTCGATACAAACCACGATGGCCTCCTTTCATACGACGAGATGTTGATCGAGTTGCAGAGTTTGAGAGTTTTCGAATGCCACTATGGTGTTGATGTCAAGACCGATCCAGACGAGGTGCGTCGTGTATACAATGCAATGCTTGTGCAGTTCGATCACGACTTGAATGGGACAGTGGACTTGAAAGAATTTAAGGAAGAGAGCAAGAAAATGATGTTAGGGATAGCAAATGGATTAGGGTTCTTGCCTGTTCAAATGGTGTTGGAAGAAGGTAGCTTTCTAAAGAATGCAGTAGAAAGGGAATTAACCAAACTAGCTGCAGCCTAAATCAATCAAATTGAGATTCAGTTTCCCTTTAAAATTGTGTAATAAATAATAACGTCATCCACACACACACACACGTGTGAGTGGTGATATTGAGATGTATTGTTGCTTCAAGTTTTTCAATAGAATAATGTTATTTATCATTATAATGATGGAATATCGATAATATGACAATCTATGTGAAATAATGTGATTGAACAATTTAATTTTTATGAAGGGGAGGGGGGAAATAATGAGTTTTCATATTATCAATATTCAATTATCGTGATGATAAATAACATTACTCTTTTCGATTCCATTTTGCAACACAATTGCACATATTAAAATCAGTGACGGAACCAGAAATTCTTCATTATGAAATTAAAAATTAAGATACAATTTTTTTTTTTCAAGCAACATAACATTAATGATAATAATTCAATATTCAAACGTTGACTACACGTTTTCATACTCTGAACCATTGTGTAATTATGACGTACTCAATATACACAATTAGACTCTAATTCAGCCGTCGAATCTTTAATCCATTTTCAACCCATGGCCTTGAGGAGTCTGGTGTTGACGTAGAGAAAAAAACATGGTCGATTGTTGACACAAATGAGATAAGAAAGACAATTATTTGATAAAATGACAAATCTGGGTATTGGGAGAATGCGATTCTTGAATTTAACGTTATCTAATACTAAACAACCTACCAAACATGTTATGAATGATTTTGAGGATAAGTTTTTCAACTGGCAAACATTTTCTTAGGTGAAGGGTATGTCGGATAAGATGGACGTTTGAAAATGGAGAGCATTACATGCAGAAAAGTAGAGAAACAAACAAGTCAAAACAACAAATATTCTCATCTATCTCATACCAATGCCATCAATCGAGTCAATATGTTGAGAAATATGAGATATTTGTGTTTGTGCCAAACGTACTTCCATCAGGGGCGCTCCTTTGAGTCTGCCAGCTCCAAAGCTGAACTGGTGAGGAAAGTCAAATGAGAGTCGTGAAAAAATTATCATAGTACTAATGTTATTGAAAGAAGGAACACCAACCGTTAGATCATTAGGCTTTCAGAAACCAAAGCTGAAGGATGGCGGATTGGAAGGTGAGAAGCTCGGCAAGGAAACACCGGCGGTTTCTGTTGAACCAAAAATTTTTTGTTCATATTTCGCTACAATTAATCAAAAACAAAAGAATATGAGATATGATACTGTACTAAAAAACAAAAAATAAAAAATAACAAGTATGATCACCGTGCTTGCAACTTTAATCATGAGAAACCTCCATCTCACCTCTCTTGGCATTTCAGCAGTAATACGGACCTTTTCTTGGACCACATGAGCTAATAACACAAATAGGCTCTTCTCCTAAAAGAAGTTTAACTAATATGACCCCCAATCCCCAAATCCCTTAACTCGTATGACCTCACCATATAAATATATTATTATTCTGACGAAACATATACATGTTTATCAGTACTGTCAAAATCAAAATTACATATTTATTAGTGGTTTCAAGCAGAATTTCGTTAGTTACATTTCAAAATGACTTGCCATCAAAACTATTATATAACCAGGAATTGCAGGTTGAGCTTTACTCCGCTCTAGAAAACGTCTAGGTAGGATATGGCAATAATGTCTACAAATAAACTTGTGCAACAAACTCATTGTTGATGTAGAGACACAATATTTATTATATATACGGGTATGGTACCTGTGGTTCTACAAATAAACTTGTGCAACAAACTCATTGTTGATGTAGAGACACAATATTTATTATATATACGGGTATGGTACCTGTGGTAACACTTTAAACTAGTGATTCTTTCGTAGAAAGATGCTGGCAAAGGAGGTTCAATGCAATTATAGAATCTAGAGGGAAGATGGATGTATATTTGTTGTAAGCCAGATATAAGAGCTCTGCAATTTCCCTCTATACATTTTCATTTCCCAGTAGTAATTAATATTATAAAGCAAATGTTAAAATAAAATAATAATTAATGGTTTTAAAAATGTCATAATAGATCAACAGAATGATAATAAATCTTTTAGGCCCTGTTTGATTGCACTTCAATTCCATAGAAGATGGAAATTATATTCCATTTTCCACATTTTTGCATGTTTGACCCAAATTTTCCATGGAATTGATTTTCCATCTTTCATCCACATGCTCACATTTTATTGGTTTTTGAGGTCTAGTCAACTTATTTTATTTTATTTTTGGCAATGGAAACAAATTATATCCCCAATTGTTACAAATTATATCCCTTTAATGAACAATTTTCATGGAAAACAAAGCCAACCGAATACCAAAAGATCCAAAATTTCAATATTTTCTAATGGAAAATTATATTAATAAAACACAATTAATTGATAATTCTCAATAAAACAACTTCTAGGCAATTCCTTGGAATTCATTTTCTTTCCACCCAAATTTCTTTCTTACAATCAAACGGACTCTTAGTTATTAACCACCCCTTGCAATCAAGGGGTTGTTGGACAGCTAAAGAATGTTTTGTTTATTAAAGTTTTGGAATAACAAGAAGCATAATTCCTTAAAATTCGGAAGTTAGAGGAAAAAAACTATAGCATATATCATTACAAGAAGCCTAGATCAAATAGATTACACAACAGTGTCACATAGACTAACACTGATGTATCATCGAATAAAGAAGCATAAACTATTTTTATAAATGCAACAATTTCCATTAAAGAAATGAACACTAAAATAATTAAAGTTGCAGTTAATAAGCATCCAAGTCATGCCACAGAAATCAATAGTAAACAAGCATCCTAGTCAAGCCACTGAACATTGTTATTTTCTAGAAAGCACATCACCAAGACTTGGGGTAATAATTAACAAGAAATTAAGATTATGCAACTGATGATTGATTCATTCAGATAGAGACACGAGAGAGATCGTTGTCCCTGCCTAAATTTCATGTCATTTGGCTCTTCATATAGAATACAATCAGCTTTATCATACCCCTCTCATGAAATCAACTGCTGCTGTGCTGATGGCACGAACTAGACAAGTTAAGGGTCCAATCACAAGTCAAAAACTTTAAAAAGAACTTAAACACAAGTCCAAAACCCTGGATCCAAATGGCAGTATGCTCCAGTGGAGTCGAATATCGAATATAGCACTCCTTGCCCACGCTCAGAAAGGCATGCTATGCATGCCTTTGGCCAAGATACTTATCCCCAGCATAACCAAAACAATTATTTAAAGTTCATACTGCATTTATTGTTAGATAAATTACGCTCTCTGTGGGTAAGTTTTATTCGTATAAAAATTGTTATCTGATATACTTATTACTGTCTTATGCTAACTTCTATTTTATGAAATGCAAATTATCTTAGTTCCCCCAACGAGTTTCCAAAATTTGTTGAAGCACTTCAAGTGTTTCCCGGCCATATGCACTAACTGCTAATATCTCTTTGATTGACCATGTGTGATATTTTTGTCATCTAGGGAACACAGAAGGCAGACGCACATCATTGAGAAACCTAGAGCTATGCCTTAATAATCAGTAACACCCCACCCCACCCCCTTTTCACTGTTTTTGATCTGATTTAATGTTCAATTCTTTTTAAGAATATATATAATTTTGACTAATGAGCCAGCCCCACTGTTTGGCTACCCTTGAATTATTTTTCTTTCTGTTGCATAATAATGAACACAGGCATAGCAATTTCAAAAACTTTAAACTTCAATAATTCATCTCATGGTGTGAGGTGGAAAAAAATTACAGTCAAATCCATTTGTAACACATTAATAATCTCACTCAGCACTTCCAAAAAATTATGCAAAAATCTTCATAATAGATCATCAAAGCTCACATGGTTAGCATAGAAAATCAGTTAATTAAGGCAGAAACAGTATGAACCTTGATTGCTTTCAAACAGAAGGTCTTCACTCTTTAACCTACTGGTAACTCTGTGCAAGTTTTCAACCTTTGCTTTTCATCAAAAAGGCGATTACGATAGCTGGGGCCTGTCAAAATAGCATGAACACATTTTTATAGTATTCAGTTATGATCTTTAGATACATTAACTTGACTGATAATCAAAACCTGTCCGCGAAGAAACTGTTGTGAAGCCAACAGTAATTCGGCAAAGAGGACCTTTTTCCTTGGGGGTGGTAATGAAATCATATACCTTTCTCTGGTGCTTTACCTTACTTGGTAGATTTACCATACTTTAGCATATTAATTAATGTCTGTGACTCTGTAACATAAAGCAACAAACGAATGGGACAGCAAAATCACCCAATCCCAAAGAAAAAGAAAAAAGTATTTTATACAAAGTACAACTACCAATGAAAAAAAAGGTAAAAAGAGGAGAAACCACCTTTCTGTCGTAAAGCTCTTTACCTGTTTTTCCCTGACATACAGTGCACAAGAACACGAGCTGGATCTTTTTCACATTGTTCTGTGGGTCAGTATAAACAACACGATAAGCTCCAAACAGAAATTGCTAATTAAATCATGATACAACTAATTTAAGTCCTGTAATCCTATAAATTACACACAAAAAAAACAACGATGGGGCAGCCACTCAATATGTTGATGACCTTATATGCCATATGATAGTCATTATAAATATAATAAATCCAAAACAAACCAGGCCAATGCAACTCTATTTACCATATTAGTGGCCATCGTACTGATGCCCAAGCGTAAAACTTATTTTGCTTTCTTTCAGACGTAGGAAAAGAGTAAAAAAGTGGAGATTAAAGGAGAAACAAGATAATCAAATATCAAAACCCAAGTTTTGTCAAATATCAAAACCCATGTTTTGGAATTGCATAACGCACAAGCTAACAACCTCCAAGAAGGATCGAGCCATCTCGTGAACAGAGTACACCAACAAACTATTGAGCTCGGAATCTCTAAGTTAATGTGGAGAAACACGGAGGAGAAAATTCATGACGAGAAGTGCAAAACAATAGATTCCAAATCAGTTGAGGCTCTTCACGTGGACCTGGGATTTTCAATGTGATCTTGA